TCCCTAGACTGAAGTCTTACCAACTATCAGGTTATCTGGCCTAGCCAAAACCCTTTCAAGTGCTCACTCTGTCCCACACCAAAATAATTGTTCTACATGTACCAACTTGTCTAATCCTAATAACCCTGGACATATTATTACTGTCGTCCCCATTTTACTAAATGAAGCYCAGGAGGCTTAAGTAACTACAAATGCAGAAGCTGGGACTCCAATGCTTGAAGCCAGACTCCACGGTTTATGTTCTCGGTCACTGCACTACTTCCCTGTCACCAGCCAGTAATATATGTTAAATATCAATTTTTTACAGAGACYTTAGACATATCTATGCAACAGCACTTTGATGTAGGGGAAATTCTGTGTTTACAAATAAGGAGATTTTTGAAACACAGAGAAGTTACCTCAGGCCACAGAGTAGATAGCAGAGATTTGAACCCAATTCCACTCAGTGTCCAAAGCACATCTTCTTGCCACACTGCCTCTCTGTACATAGTTCACCTATGGTAAACATTTTAGAAATGCTTTTWCTATTTTCTATTCGAAGGACCTTAAATAAGTTGAACAAAAGTTGCTTTTCTCTTTCAATGTGTCTTACACTGTACAAATAAGTACTGAGTTTCTGACTTTTCATGAGCCAGGTACTAAAYTGCTGTGTGTAGAGAAAATAAGGGAGAACTCATCATTCTCCCTGAGGCAGTTAAGTAGGAGAAAATGAGCTGTGAAGTTCAGAGCAGAACAGAAATTGAGCCTGAGGAGGGAATTTGATTAAGACTTGCCCTCTGGCAAGAGCTTGTAATGGGAAGGGAATTGCAAAACAGAAATCACCTGTTTTGTCCTGTTGGCTTGTTAAACTGGAGTTAGGTGAATTTACTTGCATTCTGTTTTAAAAGTGACTAATGCAGTGCTTGCTTCAGCAGCATAAATACTAACTTTGGAACAATACAGAGAAGATGAGCATGGCCCCTGCGCCTGGATCATACGCAAATTCGTAAATTTAAAATATGGAACACTTTACCATGTAAAAAGTTTYATTCCAGAGGAGGTTTAGTTTCCTAATGGGGCCCAGGAGAAGGCAGAGCATAATGTAGGCTTACTTTAGATAAGGATCATAATGTTTGCCACCCAGGACATTTCACCTCCTTATAAACTCTGACAAAATGTATGGCTTATAAGAGGTAAGACACAAAAGTTTCTTTCTTCCTTCCTTTTTTTTTTTTTTTGTTTTTGTTTTGTGTTTGTTTTTCTTTTCTTTCTTTATTTTTGGGTACTGGGGATTGAATCCAGGAGTGCTTTACCAATGAGCTACATCCCCAGTCCTTTTTATTTTGAGTCAGGGTCTTGCTAAATTGCTCATGCTGGCCTCGAACTTGTGATCCTCCTGCCTCAGCCTCCAGGTCTGTACCCAGCTCATACCTTGCTTCTTCTGAGAAGCTGTATTATACAGTAATTGAGAATGTGACCCAGAAGACACCCAACTCATTTAAATCCCAGCTCTAGCTGGGTACAGTGGTGCACCCCTGTAATCCCAGCAGGGGGAGACTAAGGCAGAAGGATTGCAAATTCCAGACCAGATTCAGCAACTTAGCAAGACCTGGTCTCAAATAAATAATTAAAAGTGTTGGAGATAGCTCAGTGGTCGAAGGTCGCTGGGTTCAATCTCTAGTACAACAAAACTAAAATCATCATCATCATCATCATCATCATCATCATCATCATTATCATCATCATCCCAGCTCTAACACTTATAAACTTGTTGGCCTTGGACCAGTTTCTCAACCTTCCTGTGCCCAGTTTCCGTAGGTATAATGGAGGTGGTAGTAATTTTTGAATCATACTTTTGGGGAGGATTAATAATCTAACCTATATAAAATACCTAGAATCATCCTTGGCTCCAGATAACCTGGCCAATGTTAGGAAGTTTTGTTATTCCCTGTCCTGGCCCGGAAAACCCTACCTTGCTCTAGGCTAGCTTGTCTYTGACATTGTCTCTTGCTCACAAAATCCACTCTCCTCCTCTGTTGGGTTAGGCTCACTCTCCTCATTTGTTCAGTAAATGACTGTTCATTTATTCAAATAATATTTATTAGGAAAAAAAATAAAGAAGAAATTTGAAAAACAAAACAAAGAGAACAAATGATATTTATAGCCGGGCACAGCAGTMTGCCCCTGTAGTCACAGCTTCTAAAGAGGCTGAAGCAGGAGGATCACTTGAGCCCAGGAGATGGAGGCTAGCCTGGGCAACATAGCAAAACCCCA